AGACTGACTGTAACACACTGAGGCTGACTAACACACTGAGGCTGAGGGTGTGTTTACTCTACTCCTGGGATGGTCGGCTAATACGAACATGCATTTAACTTGATGATAAGTGAGAGTAAGCTAAGCTATGCTAGCCTGACAATTAGTTTGAACATAAAATATCTCGCCTGTCGTTGTCGTACACTCACCGGAGGCGGGAAATCGTGGAAGACCGGAGCGCTGGAGTTTAGTACTGAGCTTAAACGTTCATGTCATCTTGGACAGATGTGAGCAGAGGCACCTCAGTGCATCAGAGCCTCCATTCATTGGACTTAGCTACGACATTTTTTTTGCAGCAATGTACCAACAACTTCCTGTTTCGGTGCAACGCAGTAAGGAGTCCCCTCAGAACCACAACCACGAATAGTTCCGCATACGTTGGCCAATATATTATTATTGATGGCTTGTGAAGGGCAGATTAAAAGAAATGGTACATTTTTGCTCCAGTAAACATGTTATTATTATAAAAGCCCACTTCCCATTTAAAAAGTTAACATGGCTAACATTTTTTCCAAAATGACAACTGTAGTTTTCTCATACTTGAGTACAATTGCAATCAAAGCTTTACTCAAGTCAGAAAAATTGTTAACTTATAAAGTTATAATTTTGACATACGGTTTCAATTCCTATCATTAACTTAATTTTAACCCCACACACACACACACTTGAAAAGAACAATTAATCATCATAAATGGGAGGAAAAAAAAGCACCTCTTGAAAAGTCAAACAACTTTCCTTTATTTGTAACATACAAATAAAACACTGACAAGGCATAATGACTTAGTTTTCCCTTTCATTGTCGTTTATGGACAGGACTGTAACACTCACTCTCAAACATGGAAGTTTTTCTTTTAACATCATGTTTAAAAAAAGTGTTTAACCTGTAAAAGGCCAAGAAATGAAATTGAAGATGGATCCACAACAGTGTATATATATATATATATATACACACACATACACAAACACACAGAGAAAAGACCAAGAGAAGGATCTGTGATTTTGTGAGGGTATGTAACCATTTAAAAAAAAAATAATAGTACTTAAAATAAACTGGTTAAGTTTAGGCTCATTTTCAAACTCAAGATATTTTCACAAAAGCTTTTTGACTTCCAGTGAGCCTTTTTTTAAAGACAGCCCACCCATCTGGATTGAATGTAACAACTGAGCGCTGATCTAGGGTCAGTACATACGGTGTCTTTAATTTTCATGCATTTTCACACTTCCAAGGCAGAGCAGTTTGGGTGCTTTTGCTTTTACTGAAACATATCATAAAAAATAAAATCACTTTCCTAGTTGTGTTAAAAGTAAAATTTTAGATACGGTTCTCCAATTCACTTTCTTTAAATAATACGGCATGACACGCAAACCAAAACTGACTCTAGGTCAGAGCTGTGGCCAATCCAATCCAGCAAACAGCTACCTGACAACATGGCTGTTGAAATGAAATTGATGAGGTTCGATTACGTTTGATTAACCTGAGAGAGAGACTGTCAGTCGGTTGATATACTACCATTATGTACATCCTCTTTTTATTGTAACCTATGCAGTACAAAAAATGATTTACTGTACGTATCAGAAGGTATTCTAGCACTAAAACAAGCAATATGTTGTTTAATTGTTTTTGTTCATGATCAAACTTGCGTCTCCAGATGCTGAATTTTTATTTTTTTTGTCTCAACCCAGTCAGGAAACAAGAAACTTTCAACCCAGGATCTGGGCTTGGTCATCCAAAGGGTTTTTCTTTTTTGGTGATAAATAACATTTTGTTCTTGTGTAACACAGATTATTTCGGTATTTAGGAGTTTCTAAGAACGTGTCTTAACATTTCAGTCTCCCCGTTTCACATATTTTGACCAGGTATTAATCTGTATGAAATCTCAAGTTGAGCCTTGATATGAAAAAACAAACAAACATACAAATTGAAGCCCCTCACAGCCACACTAGAGCAATCTTTACATCCACAGTAGTGTAAAGTAATGACTTTCTACTCCTCCAGCCCACAAGTACAATCTGTACAAACTGACTACAGTCCTGGAATTAAAGGGTTTTATGGTGGTTTCTAGATAGTGCTTCTAACCCGGCTGACTCGCACTTGAAACGGTCCAAAAATACCCTGAAGGTTTTGTACAAAACAGACATGGAATCAACAAGATCGAGGTGGTTACAGCAGGCTTTCTAGGTTGACTAGTAATGTGACATCTAAAACCCTACGTGGAACTCCTACAAACATCTCGGCAGCGGACGCACAGTTCAACTTTACCCAAATCTCACAGCACCGACTTCGTGCCAAGATGCTTTAAAGGAAACCTCAACATTAACTTTAAATGTCGCACAACTCTCCCTTTTACATACTTCTAACATGCACTGCTGTTCATGGGAGATTTGTATGAAATATTAAAGTAATGCCATCAGACCCACATGAAGATTTTACACACGTGTTCAAACACTGATGCTTAAGCTCAGAAGCAGCACTGCTGTTGTGTAATCCTGATTTAGACTACGAGTTTTGTTAAAAAAAATTATCTTGTCATGCAAACTAATGACAGTGGGCTGGGAAAACAGTTGACGACTGAGGAGAAGGAGGAGGAGGAACAACAACCATAAAAAAAAAAAACACCTTCAGTGCTCTGCAATTACTTTTATCATCCATCCATCTATCCATCCATCCATCCAATGTTCCTTCCTCCAAGTTAACAGCATTCATCAGCTTCAAACGGCCACATAATGAAGCGGTGACTTCTACCAATCCTCATCCATGTTAAATCAATATGATTTGCCCATGCTAACAGAATATGTAAGAGAAGGGATGGAGGATGGTTTTAGTATTTTTTTTTTTTTTTAAAATACAGCGAAGCGAAGGAAACGCAGTGAACGATGAGGCAAGACGGAGTAATGCAATTGTACTAGGTGACTAAAGACGAGCACAACAGATCTGCAGTCATCGTTCAGCACCTTTGGGACATAGAGGGAGAACGGAGGCACCAACAGGAGAAAGGAGGATGGGATTTTACAGAAGTGAAGCATGGGAAAACACATTATAGGCAAGTGAATCGCCCATTTGTATCGGAGAGCTTAGAAACGAGAGAAATATTGTGGGAAGAAAGTGTGAAAATGAAAGTGAATGACCTCATGAACTAAAAGAACTCCATGTCTTCAGTGAAGCAGGAAACCCGAGTTTCAGTTCATGATTTGGACCTCTGATGAAGAAATATAGCTGATGGTTAAAGTTGAACATCTGAATGAGCCAGAGAGGGTCGCCCTGGCATTATTTTTTGTGCTGGATGCAGGTTTACAGCAACAGATTATGAGAAATAAAACTTTTTTTTTTTTTAAATTAAAGGCAGGGGAGATGTCTATACATTTAGCTGTGACCAGAGCAGAGAAGATGGGTAGTGCTAATATTGTACTGTAACCTTGTCAACAGTAGTATAACGGACAGATGTGGTTCAAAACAGTGCAGTTGCTGCTAGCTGCAGTGCTATTGTTACAAAAAAAATAACTTACAAGCCATATGTGCATATAACTTGCAACATAAAAGGTGGTATTAGAGTACAGCAAGCCTTCTCAGACTGCTCCTTCTGGGACCCAAATGTGAGTACATTCAGCCTAATCCTGGGACCAGCGAAACCAGCTAGTTAGTCTCAAATCCCAAAGAAACCAGGGGCTGTATCACAAGAACTGACTAACTCGTAAAAATCCTATCAGTTTAGTTTATGTGGTCATTTGAGTGAGGGCATGATTTATCAATATTTACCACTAAATCCTATCGTAAGCTTAAGCAATCGTCACTTGAGGTAGTAAGTTTCTATAATACAGCCTTAGGCCAGCAACCAATTTGAGGTCCCAAGCAAAAGTTTGAGAAGCGCTGCAGAATGATTCAATACAGTACAGCAGGTTAGGAGATGAGAGGCGGGATGGGATGAGGTTCATTGCAGTGGTAGAGGATGTCAGCAATGCTTTAGCTTGTTCTTGACTGGGAATCACTAATTGTCATCATTAACTGGGATAAGAGAATGAGGAAAGATGAGGCTGGACATTGGACCAAGAAGTAGGAAAGAAAAAAAACAAAAAAAAAAAAAACAGGAGCTATGTGTGAAAGCTCACACTGCTTACTGCTTTTTGTAGCAGGAATACACAAAAAAAACAAACACGTAAATCTCAATCCATAACGCGACATCAATATCTGTAGCCAGGTATTCCACCATCGGTTCATCTACAGCCGTTCAAACTCAAAACGCTTGCAGTGTAGCAGGCAGCTCAAGCTTTCACACACAGCCATGAAAGTTGCTGGCTTTTAAACCAAATCGTAAAAGCTGTAGCTGAAGCGGATCAGTGGCAGCAGCCCCCGCAGTGCCCGCCCCCGTGGGTGTGTCCCGCCGAGGCCTCGCCGTGTTTGGTCCGCCGGCTGAGGATCTCGTAAGAGCAGTCGTCGCCGCAGCAACCGGACATGCTTGGCGAGGTGTCATCGATCTCAAACCTAAAAAGAGAGAGAGAGAAAGAGAGAGAGAGAAAGAAAGAGGTAAGTTAACAAGGATGAAGGAGGTGAGAGGAGTATTGTGAAATGGGAAGAATCATTTTAAACGTCTTCTTCTGCATTTATAAGCCTTATTTTAACTGGAAACCATACTTACTTACTACATGTTACTGACATAATACTGACTGACTTCATGTTCACATAAAAAAAGGTGGGATTAAAGCAGCCCATACTATATATAGTATGATCTAGTGTGGTATAGTATGAAGCCAAAAGGGATGGGAAACAAGCTAATATCTACTTGGGACCCCAAAGATCTGTTGAACATGTTTAGTGATTTTATTGAATGATTTCTAAGAGGCTAAAGCCTAAAAGTTTCCAGTGATTTGCAAGAAAATAAGCAAATATTACAGGAAAGTGTTGTAGAAATTGTTGTATTGTAGAAGTATGTTTTTTCTGCTTACATATCCTGCTAATAATCTCACGACCCTTCAGATTGAACATGCGACCCCTTGTGTGGGTCCCGACCCCACAGGTAGGAAAACACTGCTCTAGAGGGAAAAAATGAAGCTTCGGACACGTTGCATATCTGTACATTAGTGTCCGCCCCCCTTTTCTTTATGCATGAACAGAAATTGTGACAGCACGGAGATTCCTTAAATCAGCTTGTTCACGAGACGGACTTAAGAGTAACATTCAAAGTCATTCATTCATAAGTTTCCTTATACTTCCCATGTCTCCATATTCAAAAACAAAACCCCTTTGTAGAGAGTGTATACTCACTGTAAAGCTTCTCTGAAGAACTGGTAAGCCCCGTGGTTGTGTTTGAAAACTGTCAACATCACTTTCTTCATCTGCGTACTGGACATAAAGAGCAAGAGAGCAGAAAAGAAACAATTACTTTACTTTCACACGACAGGAAGATGTCACTTAAACAGGTGGCCTGCAGAGCTGTCTTGTTGTTTCTCACCTATCGATTTTTTCAATATTTTAACTCATGCTTCTTGTTTACATCCATGTTTGCTTGCCTACAGGCGTTCTCTTTTCATGGGGAAAAAATTTGAATAACGCCAACCTTATTCTTCAAACCACATTGTGAAAAAACTGTTCAGTTACAGTAAATGGGTTCAAAAGTTACTGATGGAATATGATCCAAATTCAAAGTTATGAGCCAAAGGGCAGAGAGAACAAAGCCATTCATCAAGAAGCATCAGAATCTCAGTCACACAGCAACGGCTGCAGCTGTATATTTTACCTGTTAGCGATGAGCTGTAGTATCTGGATGAGGAACTTGCCGAGTCCTTTCCTCCGCACTCTGCTCTCTAACTGCACCTCATAGCTGCAGGGTCAAGACAACAAGTTACACCACAGTGGGCATATTGTAAAAAAAAAAAAAAAAAAAAAAGAAAGAAAGAAAAAAAGTTTGCGATTATCAAAATAAAAGCTACTGCTGGAACCACAAACTTGTGGACGGCGTGCCTTACCAATATAAAACCTCCTCCCCGCACTCCACGTCGAATCGGAAGTGAGAGAAGGCCACGGGGGCGGAGTCGCCGTCGCGGGCCAGTAGGTACCACGCCCTCTCGTCGTTCATCTCCTCCCTCTTTTCCCTCTCTTTCCACCCCCACTCGCTCTGCTCATACCTGCAGCACAGCGGAGAGAAAATGGGTCGACTCCAACACACACACGCTAAATTTACCCTCCCATTTCTCCCCATCATCGGGCTGCTCTGGCAGTGCCACTCAGAAAGGACACGTTTTCCCAAATGGAGCAACATTTGTTTCGACTGACTGGCTGCCATTTGCTAAACTGAACACTACTCAAATTCAGGCAAAGAGAGAGAAGATAAATTGGAGTAAACTCCGCCTCCATTTCTTCAGCTCTTGGTCTAATTCATATACAAACACTCCGATCCACATCTTGCTCGGTAGCTGTGTAATGTACCTCGCACACTAAGAATTTCTGGCTCGTCTGCACTTCTTCCCAGCTGTAATCTACCAATCATATCTATGTGAGCTATGTCCATTCATCACTCTCCGCCTGTCTCTACGCCTTTAACTACAACAGGACCGAAAGGACGTCTTACAGTGTCTGCATGTTGGCTCTGGTGAGTTCGAAGGCCCACTCCACAGACAGCGGGTTGAGGGAGGTCACTCTCTTACACTCTATCTGCAGGTTCAGCCTGGATGGGAAGACAAGTGAGCAGGGTCAGTAACATCAAGAATTCGTGTGTGCATATGTGAGCCTGTGTCTACGCTGCGGCAAAGCGAGAGAAACACTAAAAGAAGAACAGATATAAATACTCTCGGCAGACCAACTGGCCCCTCCATGTAGAAAATGAAACAAGTGTGTATTTCATGAAATAGTGAATAAGTCTTTTGTAGGCGTACAAAGCAATGCGTACCCATTTCTGTCGTACTTTTTGAAGGCTGGGAAGGCAGCCAGGGGGTCGTCGAGCTGTGAGGAGAAGGAGCAAAATTAGCTTAAGAGACTTTCATAACACAAAAAGTATTGAGTCTTTTCCCCTTCCAGGCCCGACTTTTTTTACACTGCCCCCCACTTATGCACACATATTTCAAAAGATACTGAGGCTGTGGCTTTAAACTTGCCTCTATTTTAAATCACATCTTTAAAAAATTCTAAATAAGATTATTACTGAATCCTCAAGTAATTAGTGGTTGATTGCTTAAAACAAGAAAAGTCAAATATTTGCTAGTTCTAGCTTCTTAAATGTAAGGATTAGCAATTCTTCTTCGTCCCAAATGAAAGTGAACAAAATACACAAGATATCTTAAGACGTCAAGATGGGCTCTGGGAAATTTAAGTGGGTATTTTTTTGTTTTCTGACATTTTTTAGACAAAACAAAATCATTAAAATAATAGGCAGATTAATAATGGATCCTTGGTTGCACTCCCTACACTTCTTTATTTTCGAACTCTTCTTTTACTTGTGAATGCAGTAAATCCCCCCAAAATAGACCGTAACAGAGACCGTACTTCAAACCTTAGCATCCCTCAGACTCAACTGCAGGCTCTGGAGCCTAAATAGGCCAACTGGGTCCCATACAGGCAGGAAAATTACAGGGCTATTAGTGCTAAAGCCCCATTAGTCACTCATTGCATGCGCCCACAAAGTCAGCTTTTCCTTGGCACTAAAAGTATCATCTCAAATTAAGAATACTCCTCTTCTTGCACAGATTATAAGACGCTGGACCCCTGGGCTCAGACATGTGAACTATAAAGCTGTATATAATACAAAAAGATATTAGTTCAGACTTCTATCAGCAGATATTTAAGGATCAGACACCATTTTTTCCCCTCCCGATACCGATACCGATACTTGTGCTGTGGGTATCG